ATCCGACGAGCGAAGAACCCTAATTGGAGGAGACGCAGAGGAAGACGATGATGAAATCCCTTATTTCGAAGGTAATAGGCAAGAATTTCACATGTGTAAAGGTCTCAATTTTGGAGTTCCCAAAGGTTTGATTTTGATTTGGTGAGTTCAAATGCAGTTTGGTCGTGCTCGTGGCGACAGAAATTTCTCTTCCAGGAGTGAATGTAACAGACCAATAAATAAATTGCTCTCAATTAGTGAAAGATTATTCTTTTCCTAAGATTCAATCACTTGGTGACCTGAAAAATGACACNTTTTTACTTGTGCGCCTTCATTCTTCTCCTTTGATTTCCCCCTTGAACATGTCCTTGTGCTTTCACGTTTCTATCTCTTCCTTACACAACTCCTCTCTTAGTTCCTTCTTGTCTAATTAGCTTTGNNTCTNATAGAGGCNTATGTAGAACACTACTGAGAAGAACATATCCTCTTTCTCTTTCACATTTTTTACACTTAACTAACTCGACACTAAACACAACCAGGTCGGCGTTTCTCCTCCTCCATACCTGCTCGCAGCGAGGACATTAGGACAGTTGTCCCATTCTCGAGGCGATTTAAAAAGGGGGTGATCCTAACTACATGTAGAGTGTGTGGAATTACTTCTGGATATGCATTTGGTATGTGGTGATGATTATGATCTGTATTTCCATTTTCCTTGTCTAATCTTCATTCTTTTATTGATTGTTTGTTTGTTCCTCTTTCAGCTGCTGCTATACTGCCTAATCATTCAAAACCTTATCTTGAAGAAATACAGGTAATTTATAATGGAGTGGAATGGTATGGTTTTTGCGTTTTGCTTGTGGTTACATTTGTAATTTGTTATTTTTCTCATGATCCCAGGAAACTCGGGCTCTTTCGGGAAAGACCCAAGAATTTATAGTTAACTTTGATGAGAAATTGAAGAAGCTGGAGGAGGAAGAAGGAGTTTAATTCTATGAACCTTTGTAATAAAAAAATACCTTTACGATCAACTTCTTAAGTTTTCTGTTTTAACTGGTTTTTCGGTTTGTAATAACAAATACCCTGTTTTTGTTTTGATGATCATATCTTCTTTGGATTGTTGATCATCTTCTTGACTGGATGTTGATCTCCCATGATCGAGGATTAAATGCTTTTTCTATGTTATTGGTGTGTAATTTGCTACATGAGCTTGAAGCTTCTAGTACAGAGCTAAAGCTATTGTTAAATGAGACCGGTTATGATTCTAATTTCTGGTACAAGTGAAGAGTTAACTGGTAAGGTGATTAAACCGGGTTAGTTAGAAGAGATAAGGATGAATCTTAGTTCTAATCGCGATAGAGTTTAGGTTTCATATACGACATATGTGTTTATATAGTATATATATCTCCTTCTTCCTCTGGCACAAGTACACCATATCATT